TTGCCTGCCCGTCCAGGTCTTCCGGAGTAGGTTGATCCCCCAGATTGGGCATCGCAGCTAGCCCCCCTTCGATCAGGTCTCTCAGCCGAGGCAGCGCCGAGTCGGGCACTGACAGTGGCCGTGGCTGCGGGTGGCCCTCTCCCTGTGACACTGGGCGTTTGAATAGTGGTATGACGGCCACGATGGCCTCGTGGTCAGCTCCCGGGTGTAGCTGTGGGCTGACCTGCGCGTGCGCAAAAGGGATATTAGAGAAAGCCAGGTCCAGGACATGTCCGCAATCCTGGGTTGCCACCCCAACTTCGCTGATAAGAGAGAGATTGTGGCCGTCTGCCCAGCCTGCAATGTCATCTCCCCGGTTCCCGTTCCTCGTCCCGGGCTCCCAAGAGTAGTGATGCGCGTTGAAGTCACCCGCGATCAAAGCTCGCTCCGGGGGTTTGAGTTCTAGCAGTATCCCTGTTGTGCGGCTGTGGGGGTCGCGGGGTTGTCTGTACACGTTGACGATAGTCGTCGTTTTGTCGACCACCAGCCACAGTACGTCTCTCGTGTGGACAGGCCTCTGCTGCTCCACCGTCATCCCTATCCCTTTGCGTGTGTAGGTCAATACTCTTGGTCTGGTTCCTTCGCTGTCCCAGAAGTCGACCGGGACGAAAGAGTCGAAACCCGGGTGCGTGTTCAGTTGCACGTTTCCGTCCTTCCAGCCCGTCCAGGGTTCCTGGACGAGGACCACATCTATCTGAGCCTCCCAGCAGAGCTGCAGGAAAGCCGTGTGCGCCGGGGAGATCTTTCCGACGTTGCCCTGCGCAACGCGTAGCATCCGTGGGGTCGCCGCTCTCGGCTTACGTCTCCGAGTCGAGTTCGAGGTGGGTGTAGGCATTCGCGACGTTGTAGTTTGGCTTCTGTGCTGCCCGTTGGCTCCTGCTTGGCATGGGTAGCACGGGACGGTCGATGGAGGTGTTGTCGGGGGAGTCTTCGCCTTCGCCTTCGTCCGCCTCGTCTTCATCCATGCTGCTGCTGTCAGTGCTTCCGTCACCGAGGCAAACGATCGAGCTTGCGGAGGGCGTTCTCGTGCGCGCGCGCTTGGCGCCGGGTTGCTGGTTCTGGCTGGTGGAGGTAGGGACGCCTGCCGCCTCCTGGCTACTGTCGGATCGAGTAGCCTTGTACAGAGTGTCCGATGCTTTCTGGCCGGCCTTCCGGATCCGAGCCCGCTCCTTTCGACCGGGAAGGGAGACGACGCCGTTTACGACCGAGGGCCTCGCTGGGCAGTCTGTGTGGCCGGCTTGGAAGGGGCCGCAGCAGTTGGGACACTGGGGCCTGGCCATGCAAGGTCCCGTTTCGTGTGAGTCGGAAGGTCTTCCGCAGTTGCTGCAAGTCGGTCGTCGTCCGCAGAACCGGTTGGCGTGGTAGCCCTGGCAGCCGGGGTCATGTCGGATGAGCGTCCTTCGTTTTTTGATGGGCAGAGATCTGCCGCTTTGGTTGAAGAGCCTGAAGGGCGTGACCTCTGATGTGAATGATATGAGCCAAGATATTTCGTTCGTGACTGGGTTGGGCCCAAGGCGGGACGGTCGAGCAAGGACAGGCTTCTGTCCTGTCTGTGCGAAGACCTCATCTTCAACGAGTGTGGCTGGGTCCAGGACGTCCCCGCCAATGCTGTGTAGTTTTGTTGGGCATCGCGGCACAACGTATGTGTGCCACTTGATAGGCGTCTCGACTTGGTGGGCGCCGAGGCATTCCGCCAGCTTTGCCTTACTTGTAAGTAGTCTTTCCTGTATTTGCTTGTTTCGCGGCTTCAGAGAGTAACCTGTGCTGATATGGTAGACGTGGGGAAGGTCCGCTAGCCCCAGGCCAACGGCCTTACAGACGATCTGTCGTACGGCGAACGGTGCGATCTTCCGAGCGGCCGCTAAGCTTTCTTCCGGGACGCGGGCAAAGATGCGGAGGTCCTCCTTCGGCTGCGCCTGCGGCTGATCCTCGGCGGGGAGTGTGGCCTTCGGGCGGGCAGAGCTCTGGCAGCTCTGGCCGCTCCGGGTCGCCGCAGTGGTGTTGCCCGCCATCGGTGCGACGACAGCCGCCCAACTCCGGGCCGCTATTGGGCTTGTCTCGTGATTGATCAGTCTCTTGAGGGTTTGAATGACATAGGCAGTGGCTTCTTTCGCGATCTGCTTTCTAGAACCGTCAAAGCTGGCGACAACGCTGTCGACGGACCGTGCAATGGTCAGAAAGACGTCTTTCCGTGCCTCGTACTGTCTAGCTTCTTCTGCAAGGGCTGTCAAGACGGACCCTGTGGCAGATCCGCTCGGAGCAGATGCGGTAGAGGCTGCGGGCCCCTCGGCCGAGGTAGGGGCGTCGGTGGTGGCATCAAGCTGGCTTCCCGTTAGGCTGGGCCGGGTCGGCTGTGCCTCGGCGTCGCGGCGTCGCTTAGCTCTTGAGGTGGGGTTCGGCTCCGGAGGTGTCCCGGAGCCTGGTTCGGGGTCGGCTTGGTCGGCCGACATCAGTCCGGTGCCCGACGGCGGCTGTGAGGCCATCGCGGATGCGGGCTCCGGCAAGGGGAGGTGAAGAGTTTTCGGCTGTTAGTAATTTGGTGGTAGGCTCACTCATTCACTAACAGCAGATGCCAAGAAAAATTAGGCGAGAGGGAAGTTGTACCATGCGAGGATGTCGAGGCATCGTTTCTTGTCTGCCTCCCAGGCGTTGTTCGGGTTTGTGCACTTGTCAACAGGGAGGTCGTCTCTAACGACCACGTAAGCTCCTCTAAATTGTCTAGCCATCTGCCAGATAAGAGCTTGATCCTGAATTTTAGTCAGTATCAGTATGGGTAAAGCCATTATTGGAAGTTCACTCACCAAGTTGGTCTTCATTTTGCTGATCACATCATCCAGATTGTTCAGAGCATGGTCTCTCAACCAGGATCCCCACCCGAAAACAGATACGGCCGGGTTCTTGACGCCTCCGACGCGCATGACTTCGGGAATATCAGTCTGCTTATGGCCTTGCTTACCAAACGTTGAGGCCACAATTGCCTTGATATTAGCGAAGCCCTGCTTGGCGACAATGGCCAGTAGGCCCCGGATCGTGTCTGTCGCTTCCACTGCATCGTCGGAACCACCACTATGTCGCTTATTAGCAGTCTTCAGGGACCAAGTGCCGAACAATCTACTCACGAGTCTCCTGTGGCTGATACCAGATACATGACACCACTGATACCCGCCAAAGGACCTCCGACGGCTGCAGCAGGTGTGGCGAGGGCACTTCCGATGCTGAAAGCTGCACCGAGAATAGAAGCTAGGTCGAGAGGTGCCTTGGGCGCGCCACTCTTGATACCTAGCAATTGCCTCATGGTGCCAATCTGATCCGATGTGATGCCAATCGACTGGTCAAACTCGATAGAAAGCTGCGACATAAAACTGTGGAAAGCTGCCATGGACTGGAAAAGATACCACAGCCCACCTTTGTCAATCGCGTTGAAATCGTCTGAAAGTACACGTTAGTGGAAGCACCAAGAGGCAAACAACGCACCATAGGATTCTCACCACATGTCAAATCATGATCGCAAGGAGCACCAGGTTCCTGACAAGAGAACTTGGTGTGGTCCTTCTTTGGGAAGAGCTCGCGGTACAGGTTCTGCGCCCAATTGGAATGATCCGGCTGAGAGTTGATGTACTCGTCTGCCCACTGCTCAGCACCAGAATTATACCAAAACGTGCCCATATCCTTGATAGCGTCATAAGACTCTCCGGACTTGCAGTTTGGAAGCTTCTTGTTGAGGAGTGACTTGGGGATTTCACCAGGTGAATTTTGCTCAACCGGCTCGGCCCTACGTTGTTGATCAGTCGGCTTTTCCTGTTACGATTGAGCCATTTAAAGGACTTACGAAGTGCTTGAGCCTTGGAAGTCAATGCTCCAGATCATAGTACCTCCAAAACATTGCCCATCCGCCCAGGCCTTCTTATCTTTAAAAGTCTCCTCATCTAAGAGTGAGTAAGTATCAGGAATCAACTATTTACGCGAGGTAGACTTACCATCATAGCCAATCCATTGATCGTCCCAAGTAAGCTCCTTCATCAGAGAATCTTTCAAGTAGTTGGGCTTGAGGCCCTTGTTCTTGATGAGGTTTTTGATCTCCCCAAGAGACATGACGCCATCAGAGTCAGTGCATTCTCCCTTCTTGCTCGGGCCTGAGAAAGGGCAGAGTAGTCCGTTGCAACTCTTGTCTGAGACAGTATAGCCACGGCCATACATGGCAAGACCGAAGTTGATCTTCTTGGGATCAAGCCCGTCGAACCATAGGGGAACAGTATTATTGCCGATTTCACGTATGTCAGCTTGGCCGCGAACAACCTTGCCAAGAGTCTTGACGTCCTCATCCCAGAATCCATGAAGGTCTGGTAAAAAGATAGTCAGCTATACGTTTTCTAGGCGCCGGGTTGGTACTTGTAATCAGTCACTTACCATAGGCCATAAATCCAAAAAAGTCGACAAAAGGCTCCATCGCTTTGGCGTCGAACCATCTCAGGTACCAATAATCAGGTGCAAGGGTCAGACTGATGCCGTACTTATCGCCATAAGCAGCACGCATCTCACGGAGAAGCATAGCAAAGTTGCGAGTGTCCTCAAGCTTTCTTCCACCACGCTTAGGCTCACCCGGATACTCCCAGTCGAGATCGATGCCAGTGAAACCATATTCGTCCATGTACTCGCGGGCAGAAGAGATAAAAGCAGCACGATTGGCCTTCGTCGCTACCATGTCGCTCCAGGTGTGGTGGGTCTTTGTCTCGGGGTTGCTGAAGTCGAAGCCGCCGACAGCAATCCAAGTCTTGAGACTGTCCTTGGCTAGGCCGGTGAATTCTCGCATCTGAGCAGGGTCGTCGTCGTGGGCTGGAACAACGGCGTATGAAGTTGGATCGATGAATGCAAAGGAGTAGAACAGATGGGTGAAGCCCTTGGTATCAAGCTGCTTGGGAGTCTTGGTATCGCATTTCCGGGTCCTCACGTTCCATGACTGGTAGTATCCGATCGTGCGGCCATTTGTACTCCCGCCGCCTTTTGCGCATGATGGGGTAGAAGCGATGGAACAAGAGCCATAACCGGCCTGGCAAGGTGCACTAAGGTTGATCGGGTCGGCGTTGTGGCAGAAGACCTCGGTGGTCTGATGGAAAGTAGTTGTCAGTCTCTCGAAAGCGCACGAGGTTACAATACAGGTCGTGGAAAAGTACTCACACCACACCAGCCAGATTGCGAGCAGCAGAGATTCATGCCGCATGGCATATCGGCGTTCTCACTGTATTCTCCACACATGGCAGTTGCATCGCACTGGGACTGACATCCTTTCCCGCAAAAGTCGGGGCCATATCCGCAAATGCTATCAGGACCACAGCAGCTAAAACAAAATATTAGAATCAGTCTTCCGTCTTAAGTGCTTCATACTTAGATAGCCATTAGGCTGTGAAGACAGTGACTAACCTTCCGTCGACACATGGACCATCTTTGCAGTAAAGGGGGCCACGTTTCTCGAGAGAGCGGGAGCTCAATGACCGTCTGGATGTATTGTCGATGAAGGAAGCATTTTTTGAGTCTTCGTAGTATTGCTCGAGGCTAGTCGTAGAGTCTTGTGAAAGTTCAAGATCTTTGGTCGGAACTGGTGGGGCCTTGGATGGGTTCTGATGAGCTGGGCTCTGGGAAATCTCTTTAGCCCATTCCGGTGCTTTTGCTAATTTTTGGGGACGAATATCAGTTATGCATGTCTCCAGTCAAACCATCATCGAATCAAATTCAAGTGACAAAGTCGAGCTCACCTATGACATTGGACCGTCGTACGAACGCGTTTTGAGCATGAAGCCGGCGGCCGGGGGGGAATTGAGCGACGTCGGCATGAATGAGTGTAATGAAACAAAAAGAATAGAGAACAAACGCCAAAGAGGCGAAGCTAGATAGCTTCGACATCATGACGCTAGATATAACGACTGTGATAGTGCTCGACGATGCATCTTTTGGAACTCTGGGGTGATTCACCCGTATCACTGTATATATAACACTACTTGTCATCGCAACCAGATGTCACCTGTCCGGTCAATTCATTGAATTCAAAAAAACTTTTTCCATCCATCATCTAACCGAGATTTTCATGTTCATTAGGTAAAACCGTCATCAACTATGTTACCCTGCAACGATCGTATTCCTTCTTCTCCCCTTGATAACTCCATAATCATCATTTGCACAGGCGCTGTAATTACCGCAATCGTTAGCAGTTCGTATTCTGTCATCCCTTCTATGCATGCCGAGGCACTATAACACGGAAAAGGTGCGGCCCCACGGCTCTGATAGAAACTGTGAGGCCGTCTGACTATAGCCAAGCCGTCCAGCCCTCAAATTTGAGCTGTGAGAGCCCCATGGCAGCCCGATACCTACCGAGTTGAGGCAAGTGCGGGATGCAGATGCATGTAGATTTCTTTCCTTGGCCCGGACCGCAAAGCTTGGCTCTATCCAGCCAGATCCGGTGGAGAGCCACAGGATCAGCATCCTTGCTAGGCATCAGGAACAGGGACTCTAATTCCACCTCACATGCGGGTGTGATGCTGAATCGCCACCATTGATGCTTTACGTAATATGCGAATGAGCCGCCGCTTCAGAGATTGTGGTCTGAATTATGGGCCGTCATCCCAGGGGTCATCAAAATCATCAAGTGGTTCCCTCGGACTCTTAGCGTACGACCGTGGCACTATTGCCTGCGATGGGGCGAAATGCTGAATGAGGACAACCTCCCGAGCAATGCCAAGTCCAAGTAGTCCGTACTTCCATCCAAGGAGCATTTGTTCATATTCAATCTCTGGAGATGTCTACTTGGGAACATGGTTTATATAAAATCTGTAAACCTGTCCGCTCTCCAAGACCACGAGTTGCATCGTGAACCTACCTTACTTAGTTACGAAAGAAAAGTCCTTGTCTTTTCCCAATTCCGTGCTCGACATGAAGGCAACTATATTCTGCTGGCTTTTGCCGGCCTTCGTCACGTCTCAAAGCGTCACAGCCACAACCGCAACACTGTCACCATGGCAGACTGGAGAAGTCACGCCAGATGGAACCTGCGGAGGTACAACTGGTTTCGTATGTAGCCCTGTCTGGGGCGCCTGCTGTTCCAAGGATGGTAAATGCGGTCGTTCTGCTGCATTCTGCGGCGATGGTTGGTAAGCCTTACGTCTCATACCTTATTTACCGTCCTGGCACATGCGGCAGCTGATCACTCGACTTACACCGGACATAGTCAACCAGCCGCCGGTAACTGCAACGCGCCCGCACCTGCTCCCGCCCCACCACCCGGGCCCGGGAGTATCTCTCCCGACGGCTCATGTGGCGGAGCAAATCAGTATAACTGTACGACTTCCCCCTTCGGAGACTGCTGCTCTTCGAGCGGCTACTGCGGGACCACTTTGGGCCACTGTGGAAGTGGTTGCCAAGACCTGTTTGGCACATGTGGTGCGCCGACCAATATCAGCTCTGATGGCCAGTGCGGCTCCAATGGCAAGACGTGTTTAGGGTCAACATTTGGAGACTGCTGCTCATCAGGTGGTTACTGTGGAACATCCTCCGATCACTGCGATGCTGGCTGTAATACGGCCTTTGGCACGTGTTCCAACGCGGATTCGGGCAGTATCTCTACGGATGGAACATGCGGGAAGAATGGTAAGACATGCCAGGGATCCAAGTTTGGCGACTGCTGCTCCTCTGGCGGCTTCTGTGGCACTTCCAAAGACCATTGCCAGGCGGGCTGCCAGTCTCAGTTTGGCACATGTGGCACAGAAGACAATGTTTCCACTGATGGTACCTGTGGGACAAACGGAAAGACCTGTAAGGGTTCTTCCTTCGGGGATTGCTGTTCTTCTACTGGATTCTGCGGCAAATCTACCGCTCATTGCGATGCTGGTTGCAATGCTGCGTTTGGCACTTGTAATGAAGCTGCCAGCGGTATCTCTGCTGATGGTCAATGTGGCAAGAACGGGAAGACCTGCAAGGGCTCTGCGTTTGGCGATTGCTGCTCTTCTGGTGGCTACTGTGGCAAGTCATCTGACCACTGCGATGCCGGTTGCAACGCATCATTCGGTACCTGCAGCACAGCTGCTGGAAGCATCTCCACGGATGGAACCTGCGGTAAGAACGGCAAAACATGCAAGGGTTCAACCTTTGGAGATTGTTGCTCGTCTGGCGGGTTCTGTGGTAAATCTTCCGATCACTGCGATGCTGGTTGCAACCCCTCCTTTGGAACCTGTAATGAGGGCGCCTCAAGCATCTCAACCGATGGAAATTGCGGTCCGAAGAATGGCAAGACTTGCAAAGGTTCAACCTTTGGTGACTGCTGCTCTTCTAATGGTTACTGCGGAAAAAGCACTGACCATTGTCGCAATGGCTGCCAGCTGTCTTACGGCCTTTGCACTGGAATCTCAAGTGATGCAATTTGCGGCACGGAAAACGGCAAGACTTGCGCTGGATCTGGTCTTGGAAACTGCTGCTCAAGTGGAGGCTATTGCGGAAGCACTGGCGCTCACTGTGGCCAGGGATGGTAAGTTTCAGTTCAGTTTTTGCATGTCTAGTATTTGAATTTTGTCTTTTTTTTTTTTTGCATCAAATGAGGTGCAAAATGCTAGACTTCATTGCTGACGTCGTATCTATCATAGCCAGAAAGATTCATCGAGCGGCTGTCTCACAGCCAATATCCCGTCTGTTGATGGCACTTGCGGCTCTAGCAAGGGAGGTTTCACATGTGCTGGTGGGCCTTTTGATGGCCAGTGTTGTAGCCCTTCAGGGTTTTGTGGAACGAGCTCTTCGCATTGCGGAACTGGCTGGTGAGTTTTGCTGTCCTTGTCCTCGAACGAATTGTTCCATACTAACTTATTTTTCCATGCAGCCAACCTGGCTCTGGACGCTGCACCTAGAAGACGAAAAGAATTTGCGTGTTTTGCAATTTCAAAAATCACGAAGTGAGCTCGCGGTAACTTAGTTTAGAACTGCACCACTGTTTATGGATAATTTACGAATGAAGGCCTGTTGATTCCAATAACTCGACTTCTTCAACTATGGAAAAAAAGTTTGCTCGCGTTATTCTTACCTTCGAAAACAAAATGGCATGGCAGCACATGTGTTGGACAGATCGCGGGCTTTTTGAACAAAGCTTCGTGCACCTGGTCGAGGGGGTAGATGCTTTGCTTGGTTAATCCGAGGCCGGGCACACGAAGACTAATATGTTGAACCATTGTGATCTCAGGTACGTAGCTCAACGTACAAGACAGGAAGAGTTCGGCTTACATTCGCCTTTAGATTTCAATCTCGAAGCAAGCAGGTCTAGCATAGGGAGCCTACGGTCTGACGCCAAGGTCCAGATGCAACAACGCCGGTGGGATGGGTGGATGATTTCCACCCCAAAGTTGGAGAAGAAATTGCCCGCGCTCAAGAATCAGATACTAACATCTGAACACAGTAGTCCAGCCAAAAATAAGTTTCAATGACGTATTCAATCAGTCTGCCGAATCATCTTGTGATCTGCTTTGAGTCATAATGCTTGGTTGAGTTACTGTCATGGTCTGGTGGTATAATGATACGCCTCTCAGAGCTCGGTGTCCACTAAAGACAAGTGACTGCCAGTTTGTCATCTCAAGACATATTTATCAGCATTTTAAAGCATTGCATCGGACATGAGGGTGCATTCAGACAAGACTTCTCTAATATAATATTGATCAATTAGCCTGCTCTCATGAAATGCTTTGCTAGCTCTCGGTCAACAACCTCATTTATTCCGAGTCCCGACATTCTCCTCATTCGCCAAACTCCACGATGACCGATCACAATTACACCTTCAAAATGGCAACTCAGCAGGTTTTTAGACTTCCTCAGCGCACATCCATCAACGACCTCGTTGTTGGGACGGAGCCAATTCCAGAACCCTCCTCGAACGAAGTTCTGGTCCGCATTCGCAGTGTCGCCCTCAATTTCCGCGATTTCGCTGTGGCGACCGGGCAGTACCCACTCCCTGTCAAGGACAACGTGGTCCCCGGTTCCGATCTCTCTAGCGATGTCGTCAAAGTGGGAAGTCATGTTGACGACTTCGCTCATGGCGACAAAGTGATCTCGTCTTTTGATCTTGACACCCTTCATGGCGCCATGAAGGACTGGAATCACAGTCTTAGGGGCTATGTAGATGGTGCCCTGCGAGAGTACATTGTTCTTCCAAGCTCTGCACTAGTCCAGGTGCCGAAGGAGACTAAGCTGAACTACTCCCAGCTATCGGCGCTTGTCTGCACTGGAACAACTGCGTGGAATTCTCTCTGTGGCAACATAGCTCTTAAGCGTGGCCAGATTGTCTGATTCCTTAGTAATTATATCCAATCCCACTTGTCCTGACAAATACATCAATGATCTGACTTGACACCTAGGAACCGGCGGTGTTTCCATCACCGGCCTCATCCTTGCCAAAGCAGCCGGAGCAACCGCCATAATCACTTCTTCCTCAGATTCGAAGTTGCAACACGTGAAGGAGACCTACGGCCCTGATCACGTGATCAACTATAAGAAGACCCCAAAGTGGTCGGAGGAAGTTTTGAGGATTACAGAGGGCCATGGCGCCGACTACGTCTTTGAGAATGGAGGCGCTGGTACGATTGCTGAGAGCATCAATGCCGTCGCATACGGGGGCTCCATCGCCGTGATTGGATTCCTTGCGTCATGCCCGCAGGAACAGATGCCTGACGTCGCAGCACTCGCCTTGTCCGAAGGCGCTGTTGTGCGTGGTATCATGGTGGGATCCCGGCAGCACTTGGAGGAAGTCACCCGTTACGTTGTCACCCGTCAGTTGCAGGTTCCCGTTGAGAAGGAGTTCGGATCCAGTAAAGACGAGATCATCGCTACCTTTGAGTATGTTACCAGCGGCACTCATATCGGCAAAGTTTGCATCAAGATGACTTGATCTCTTTTGCACTCGTTTCAATACGAAATCACAAGTCGTCTTGGCTCACCGGTTGAATCAAAAAAAATTCGAGTTTGGGAAGAATTAAGGCCCATCCTGTACACAAGTCATCCCACAATGCCCGTTCTCTTATTGACTCATGTCGATGGCAAACGTTGGTTTCCGCCTGTTTAAATGTACAGTCAGCAACAGAATATAATCCATCGTCACATCATTTCTGTCAGCGTTCGCTGTGGCCGTAACTTTAACTTCACAGCATTGGTAGGCCTTGAAGCCGACAAGATTCAAGACCGTCTCTGAAACTTGGACTCACTGTTTTTTACCGTGGAAAACGTATTGTAGAGAAGACTTTAAATACTATCAAGACGACTTACCCCTAACTATGCATGTGAAGGTATCGCAAAGACTTGTCACGGGAAATTTGGTCGATGACTGTATACCTATATCTAGGGAGGGAATTAGGTGTTGGATTAGAAAGCTCCAATACTTTTGGAAATTTTGAATCCTCCTGACACCCTGTGTTGAAAGAAGCCGTTGGGGTCATAACTCTGAGCCACCTTCTCCAAGAAGTCCTGATTATCGCCTCCGTACGACTGAAGAGGGTCTTGTGTCTGGTGTGCGTAGTTGATGTACTTGAATTTTGTGCTTTGTCCTATGCTTGCAGCGTATTCGGAAATGTCATCTATGACTGCCTCGAACTTTCCCGTCAACAATGCCTCGTCGTTTGGGGTTGGGAGCAAGCACTCGACTTGAAGCACGACGGATGGCTCTGTCAGTTCTTCGTTCAATCCGAGGATATTAGGCCCGTTGTTGGCAAAGTTGGTTGAGAGGGGAGTCATCACAAATATTATCGTGGCATCCTCGTCGAGCTTTCCCTCCAGGTCCGCAATGAAAGCCTCGAAAACTTCGAGAACTTTCCTGCCCATCTCCATGGTGGCGTGGAAGCTCTGCGTAAACCACACATTGTACAAACCAAGCGTGCCTTGGAGCTGCTTGACAAATTCTGAGTTCGGGACCGCCGATCTGGTGTCAACAAGAGGCCCCAAGTCCGCGAGTCCGGCGAAGGAGGACGAGTTGCTGACGCCATCAACGTTGGCGGTAATGAAGGCCACTGAAGGATCTCGGCCAGGACCCCACGACAAGGAAACGAACCCACTCTCGGCAGGATTTTCTTCGTTGTCTCTGATCATAGTGATGAAGCTTTGCACGACGGGTTCCTTCTCTGTGAATGCGAATGCGACGATACCACCGTAAATGTCATTTGCAGGGAAAGTTCGCAGGTCGAACCTCGTCACGACACCGAGGTTGTTCATGCCACCTTTTAGAGCCTTGAAGAGGTCCGCGTGCGCCGTCGCATTCGCTTCTATGAGGCTGCCATTAGCGAGCACCACCTGCGCAAATACGCTGTTAGCACTGCCGATTCCGCACGGTATGGAATCGCACTCGTCATGAATATTTGTACCTCGTAGTTCAAAACGTTATCGGCGGAAAGGCCGTACTTCGCAGAATACCATGAGAAGCCTACCAATGTTCCAGTTAGTTACCCCGCGATTCAACTAAGATTTCGCCTTACCTCCGCCAAGCAAGAACCCTCCTACACCACCATGACCTTCGCGTCCGCCCGTTGTCATCACCCCTTGTTCCTCGAGGGCAGAGTACACTTCGCCCCAGCGCCCACCAGGGCCGAGCGCTGCGATACCGTGTCCCTGCGAATCAGGATTGTCCGTGTAAGTAATGGAATTGATGCCACCGAGATCGATGGTAACGCCATTGGCAGCATTATTCGATGGGAATGGTGAGTGGCCACCGCTACGTATAGCCACCGTCCAACAGCCAAAAGCTTCGCTGTTAAGTGCCTTGATCGCGTCCGAAACCTGCTGCGAAGTCGTGGGCTTAAAGATACATGATGGTCGAACGTCTCGAACGTCGCCAGAGTAGTAGGACTGGATGGTGACGGCGTACTCCGTGTCGTTCGAAAAGAAAATTTTGCCAGAAAGCCCAGCGTGAATGAGGATATCGCACTGCAAGATGAGTCGGTCAGCATCCTACTCCCAAGGCCAAGACATTCACATATAGAAGCTGACAGACCCCTGTGAATTGGGATGCAGCATTGGACCGAATGACGCGGGCAGGTTCAAAAGAAGTGGATGCTGCAAATGCTGGAACAAAGGATAGAACCGCTGCAGCGGTATACCACACCGTTGAAGCCATCACATTCGTTGATGGAATAGACCTTGGCGAAATCCAAATCAAAAGATGTGGCCGATGTCTCTTCTTAAGACATCCATCGACCAGCATTCGGTAAACTCATCGGCACCGATGCTCCATCATGAAAGGGCTGTCAAGGGGAGTCTTTCGCTTTCGGTTTCCATCACTTGTCAGCAGCCACGACCTTTCGTAAATCACTGCAATCTATTGGACAGCGTTTTTTGCATCGCGGTACGCGTCGTATTTTCTTTTACATTTTGAAATTTCAAATATTGAAAACGGCGCAGCTGCTGGGCGAGCTCTGCTGAGCTTGTCCTTCGCGGATTCACTCCGAATGCAGGCAAACATAGACTAAGCCTAATCCGTTTCTTACTGTTGGTTGTTAGATTAAGCGATGCTTCCTTTTCTTTTCATTGGCCACCGCTTGCATATTCTCGTGGACCAACAGATTCGCCGAGCAGAAAAGCTGCGGCGCAGCGGGGACTGGATCCATCCAGACTTTGGGGACATCCTCATTATGCATGTATGGACATGTGCCTGACCAAGCATGGGCCCAGAGAGGAAGTTTCTCCGGCTCAAACCAATAGCATCAAGTTGACCCGACCTTTTCACCTTAAGAGAGTACCTTAAGGCGTAATCTCGACATGGACCAGCTATTAGTCAGTGACTCAAGATACGTCTCCGTTGCTGAGAATATTGGTTGAATATACTTTGTATGCAATGTCAAGAATCGCGATTGGTGAGAAGAAAGCCTCAATCTCCGCAGTCTGCTGCGGTATTCGATTAAGGGAGTGTCAAGATGTGTAGGTAGTAGTATAAGGAGCTTGAAATGGATAATTCAACCGCGAGGTGTCTAAGTATTGGCTATACAAGCAATAGGTTGAGACCGAGGTGGACTTGCTAGATGAACAAAAGTTCCTTTCCGATCCTCTGCCGGGCGTAGGAAGCCAGTCGCATTAGTGAAAAGCGCAATCACGAACGTAACTCCAACACTGCCCCTTTTCGTTTTTTATCTTGCTGTCTCGTCATTTCTTCTGCGGTCTTTTTCAATATGATTAGCTCATTTTCATTGCCAACTCTAGACTTCTTACAATCACTTCCACAGAATTCTTTGTGACCAGTACAGATGAGAAGCCTCAATAGCTCTAAGGGAATAAGAAATCTCTCCTCGACAGTACTTGTAAATTGAAGACCCTTGCTCAGTTGCTATCACGACACCCATGAAAGATTTCGCCAGGGTCTGAGACTTCGGAAATCAGGCTTGCAAACCAACACGTCCCTTAGAGGTCGCAGGCAATGTTGAAGCTACCCGAAAAGAAGACTTGAGCACTACGCCCGCCCCCATAAAGTAACCCGTGTGCTCGAGAATTAGGCCCAGGGCGCATTTTGACCTTTTCTTCCTTCCTCTATTAATTATCTACGCCCTGGAACCTTCAAGCATAGTTCAGATGACCATGCCAGCACAATACCCCTTGCCTTCCGGAGACCCATCTTTGACAACGACAGTGCTCGCATCAATATGGGTAATGGCATCAACATCGACCATCTTTCTTGTGCTCCGAATCTACTGTAGATCATTTCGTACTAGAATGATGTGGTGGGACGATTATCTCCTCATCATGGGATGGATGTTCCTAATGGCTGGGGTCTTACTCCAAACAGTCGTTTTCGAATCTGGGTACCTGGTTACCACTCTGTCAGGCCCCATCATTACCCCGGCAAACTTGGCATCCGACAATGCAATGAAGCTTTCCCTAGCTTTCAGCAAGACGTCATTTGCCCTCACCTTGCTGAGATTCACGACAGGCTGGTTGCGTCCTGTGATTATCCTGATCACTTGCATGACAGATATAATGTGCCTTGTGCACTCAATTTTGGTCTGGAGACCGGCTTGTGGAGCTGAGAGTGCGTTTTCGCTTGGTTCATGCTGGTCAATCAACAGCGGCATCTGGATGAATATGATCGGGTCGAGTGAGTACTTCTACTGAAGGTGGGCTTGTCTTGGTCTAACGTCTTTTTTGGGAATAGTTGTCTCCGCGGTGACAGATTTTGGTCTAGCTCTGAATCCAATTTACTCGGTATGGGAATTACAAATGGTCAAACGGGAGAAAGTCGGCGTCGCGATTTCTATGAGTATAGGTGTGCTGTAAGTGAGATAGCCACTCATTCTTTGTCTTACCAAGTCTGCCAAACTACTCGGGGCATTTACCTTATCTGCAGGGTCACTGATTACAATGGTAGGGCAGGAATCGTTGCTGTTCTCAAAGCTGTGGAAGCTCTTGAAGTCACGAGAGTTATTGGAACCGAGTGTCAGTGTTGTTCATGTGTCTTACCTTGAGTCGCAAGTGGATATTGACAAAGCTATCCCTCTCACAGTTTCTCGCCGGCTTGCCGTCTTGAGCATTTGGATTCACGCAGAACCCAATGCGATGATTGTTGCAGCCTCGATACCGGTACTGAGAGTACTGATACGGGATGTTGCAAAATCATTTGCATCCTACCATCCCTCGGCTGCACACTACGTAAAGTCTGACGGAGTCTTTCAGAGTGCCAACCTCCCGAATGTACGAGCAATAAGTATCAACAGCGATCATGATAGCGAGACAGTGATTCTTCCTATCTTCAAGCCAGGAATTGAAGCGGATGATCGATATCGAGCTGAGGGCCAGGAAGCTGTCGAACTTCGTAAGCTTCATGCACACATACCTTTGGGGCAGCATGAATGCCAACTGGTCAGGCTCCAAGAGGTCAAATAGGACTACGTATTTCACCATAGAGTATTCTAGCACTTATGTCAGGTGTATATATATCATTAAGATAAAGATAGGTACTAAGGTGTTTGGCATGCGAGCTTCCACTTGACGACGATCATCAATTACTGGACTGATGAGAACACGCAGTCAAATTAGATGATCTGAGACTACGGAGGGAGCGAATAGAAAATTGGAAAGAAGAAGCACCCCTTTAACACAAGTACGTGCTTGTTATATACCCATTCGAGAAACTGTCAATTCCAACAGAGAAAGATCATCCTAGAGATACATCACACCTCCTTATACAATCCCCCAATGAGCAAAGACCGATCCTGATTCCCATAAGAAGCCTCATACATGTTGTTCTTGCGGTCGTACCAATCCATGACATTAGTCAGCCGACCTTCCCCATCGATGAACTCAACATCATCACTAGGTCTCAGGAAGTATGTGACAGAATAGCGATCCACATCGGGCAACGGAAGGACCCGATGCACCGCCGACTTCAATCTATCGCGCGTCAAGAACCGAAGCACATCAGCCACGTTGACTACGGCGCAGCCGGGACGCGGCTCGACATACTGCCACTCCATGGGTGTTTCCGCCTTTTCTTTCTTGGGGTCAGTATTGACGTGGCCCTCACTGTGTCCTCTGTGGTAGCCACTATCGAGACTTTCGTCTGAATCGTGAGACGCTGAGGAGGAGGCTGACAACGGTGAGGATGTTTCGGGAGTTGAAAGGACTTGCAACCCCCATTGGGGCGCAAAGACAAGCGTCAGGGTGCCATAGTCCGTGTGAACATTATGTCCGGCATAACCTCCAGTTGGATCCATCGGGATATAATGCAGGAATGCAAGGGCACTCTTAGACGGGCAGTCGCTTCGGTGGAAGTGGTTGAGGCTCTGCGCTCCCTTCAGCCCCAGAGCGTTCGAGATACGGTCAAGGAGAACTCGAGTAATGTAGTGACACTGGCTCTGGAAAGAGGTGAATGTCTGGAGGTTGTCTTCTACCACTGGTGGTAAGCCCCATCGTCCAGCTAATTCAAAGCTACCTGTCTGTAAAATCGTTAGAATCGTCGTTATCTGTGACTACGATTCCTATCGATACTTACCTTGAGAACTTCCCAGCCATCTCGACCTCCGTGCGTCCCAGCCTGAGAACCGATTGGCTTGTACCTGAGGGCAATGAGTCAATTAGCCTCAATAAGCAAAGTAGCGAGAGCTTGGATCAGATTGACGGCTTTGACAAACCCATGAGATGCCATGCTGATAGCCAGTTCTTTGCACTTCGAGGCGGTTGGCCGATCGAACCAGTCCTTCATGACAATGTTCAACCTGTCAAGGTTCTCTAGCATTGTAGCAGAATACTGGTCCGAAATGTCCAAATAAAAGAAGCCAACATTCTCGCAGGCAGAGACGATCTTGTCAATGGTCGCTGGGTCGCGGTCTAGCACTTTGGAGAAAACCACAGTATCTAGGTTTGCAGTCGGTGCGTAAGGAGCAGTAGCACCATCCATCTTTTTTGATCCAGCCACTGTCATCTTGAAGAAGTGATAGAAATCAGATACAATATTGTAAAGGTACTACGACTTGTGACGGTTTGAAAGGAGTAGGGTGTTGGGATAGGCAAGCTTTCTTGATATATCATATAACTAATACTCGGTCGCAACCTTTGGATAAACATTCCTCTCGGCCAGCAATTTTGCTCTTCTCCGATATCACGTATAGCTACACTGGATTACGTGTCAGTTCAACGCCTTGCTGATCCTATAACCGTCACAGAGACCAATCATGTCCATATATCTCCCAATCTACCTCGTCTGACCTGCAATCAGGCCATGAACCTGTTCACTCGGCCTCAGCTGGATACATTTCAATGACATGACAACCATCTCCCATTTGTATATTGCCTCCTTCTCAAGCCATAGGAGACATTCTTCCGTTTTTCACAATGTTTCCTTGATGTATTTATTATGCGTTCCCGAACTCCTTGTCTTGTCTCAGGGGGTTGTAACTACTAGCAGAATACGCCTCACGGCTGCGTCCGCTGACTGCCTAAATTACGGAACTTTTGATTAAATCCCTTCGCTCTGCGGGCTTATCTTCAAGCCTATGGTGTTCAAATTCTCGTCTGGTGAACATCGTACATGTATCACTAGGCGCCAAGTTCCAGCCGAGGCTGAAAATCGGAACAAGGCGGCTGCGAGTGCTCGGCAAGGGGGGTGGGTAGGGGCGGTGTCTCACTCTGGCTGGAATCTTATGTGGGAGCATTGAGCTTGTATTTCCCAGTACCCAAGCGGCTGTCGCACAGGAACGTTTTTACTCCCTCAGGAGTTGCCGGCAATCGGTGCCCGATACCCGCTTGCTCATCTCTTTTATAATCACGACAAACTTATGACTGAAAAAGGAAAGTGCAAATACAAAGTTTGGGAGGCGTTTGCCGCTAAGACAAAAACGCGGCGGAACGGGAATGTAAGCGTTGCATTGCAGGAAAAGGGTGGCCCGGTGAGGATGTGGGGGGAAGGATCGGAATGGAGTCATAGCCATGTCTCGGCGCAATCACTTTCACACTACTGGTCACTTCGGCTTCCCTGCTCGACTCAAATCTGAGAACGACGTGAGTTGATAACCAAATATTCTCGAGATAATCACAGAATTGCCACCATCATGATGCATGTCAGCCCCCGACTGAAAACAGGCCTGTGGCAGGCAGCCCGACTAGGCAGACTCGACAACTGAACAGAAACTGGAATTTCCGTAAGATCTATGGCTATTTTCATATGGAGGTATTAGAACATATCTGGGAGCATGCCTTGTAGACCAGACGCAGAGGTTGAAAACAGAAGATTATTTTTGCCGCCTTCTCGACCGTTTCACGCACCCTGTCCATCCTGACTTGAGCCAAGACAAGTCTGAACTTTTCACAATGCCGCATTTTGAAGACACAACTAGCCTCAAAGGTCTTAGCAAGTTCGATGAGCTTGTGAAAGCTCTCAAAGACGCTCTCGGCTCTTCAGGTTTGACCTGTGATGATATCGACCTTGACTTGTTGATGGATCTCATGAAGAATTATACCAGCGATGAGACAGAATGGGGAGCCTTTGCATTTGCCAATCCTAGCATGGCATATACTCGGAACCTTGTAGATGAGGGCAACGGCAAGAGTAACTTGGTAAGGCCTATGATGATCAAAGATGCTCGTCTGTTTCTAATTCGCTGGACACAGTTGGTCCTCGTCTGGACACCCGGAAAGGGAAGCCCCATCCACAGTCACAGCAATGCGCACTGCTTGATGAAGATCCTCAAAGGAAGCCTGACGGAAACACGCTACGACTTTCCCCAAAACCCCAACCGAGAATCAAACTCAGTCGAATTGGGTGTTAGCAATGAAAGCATGCATGTGGCTTTGGAATCAGTCTACACAGAGAATCATGTGGCCTACATGAGCGATGATCAGGGTGTGCACAAGATGTGGAACAACAGCAACGAGTTTGCTGTCTCGCTCCATCTCTACACGCCGCCCAATATTGTCAAGAATGGTTGCTACGTCTTTGACGCAGAGACTGGGAAGGGAACTCTTGTAAAAAGCTGCGAGTACTATTCCGTTCAGGGCCACCGAGATACAGACGCGCTGGCCGGGGCGACAAAGAAAGTTACACCATCTCTACTATGAAGTTGTAGAGTAGAAATATACGCTCAACGCTATATGTTCGTGTTATTTTCCCCAAAACATTGCTCAGTTGCAGGGTCTCCTTGAAACTAAACCCTTAATCCTTAAATACTTTGGGGAACGCACAATCGACGTCTGAAGTATGCGATCGTCTTGATTCAAAGACAAACATAGGGAGGACCTTCGAGAGTTTTGCCCGGAACAGAATAGGCGATTTAATTTTCTCAATTCGGCGATGCACGAGCGATTGGCCGACATGCTGTCAGAATCCATCTATTTACCGGAATTAGAATTGTATCATATCGGCACCCATTACTAAGGCAGGTTTCATATACCACTTTCCTGTACTTCTACTCATGTCTGAATTGATTTAATTCATTGATTGTTGGGGAGAAACAGCAAGTTTCTAAGTTGTTTTCCGTTTCTTTAACAGACCGAAGGCTCCTAGGGTAGCTGCTGTCATTGTCGCTCCCAGGAGAATGATGAATGATCGCCACTTTCCAGCACCGTACCCAGGCTGTACTCCAATATTCTCGCTGTTTTGAAGAACAGCCGCAGCTATATAGCCTGACGCCACACCTATGACACCTCTAGTGAATAAGAGGATGCCGGAGACGAAGAGTTCCTCGGCCGGCCGCTCGGGATCGTCGACCGCAATTGCCGCCATGTGGCTTCGCAGAACCATGAAGCTGAAGGCAAATGCTCCAAATAAGACCGAAGTGATTACCATGTTCCAGTAGTATCTACCCAATCCCCATACAACGAAGACCGCAAAGCTGCTGACGAGGGTGCTTAGCAGCATGGGTATCAAAGGTCCGATCGCATCTCTGTTGTATCTGCTTATTAGCAACGAGTCATACGTAGACATTTGGGCCACTCTACTTACGTCAAGGCCCCCAGCGAAATTTGACCGATGATTCCAAACAGCGACAAGAATGTGACCAATAAAGCCCCTTTCTCTGGCGAGATACCGAGGTCCGTAGCGTAACTGGGCAAGTAGTTTGCCGGTAGATTGTTTGCCAGACTTTGCAGTGTCATCGAAAAAACAAAGAGCCAGAACACCGGCTTTTTGAACACTCTAGTAACAGACGATGATTGTCGAGCTGCAGCCTCCATTTCCGATTTACTTGTACGTCGAGGGCGGACGGAGAGAATGCCAAGAGAAATTATCACTGCTGTAAACACGGCCCATCCAATCAGAGTTGTGCGAGGCCCGAAGCGCTTCAACAGAACGGAAAAGATTGGAGAAAGACCGGCGGCCGCGATGTTGGGAGCTCCGAAACTGACACCATTACGTTAGCTAGTCGCCCTGTTGGCTATGAGTTTATAGGCATCATACAATATGCCGTTGGCAAGACCACGACGCTTGAGAAACCACTCGTCCACGAAGGTTAAGCAAGGTGCGAAAAGAAGGCCGCTCGAGAACCCATACATGAGCCCTTGTGTCATGATGACCTGCACAGCCTAGGACAAACTGTTAAAATCTTCTATTCAAGACAACGATTGTTTGCAAACTGCTTACAGTAGTTGAGAAAGCAGCTCCAATTGAGGATGCTACCACTAGCACCATACCACTCCACATCATGTAGCCTCTATAGTGAGGGTAGGCTGTGATGATCTTGAGTAGAAACGGCGGCAGGGTTTGTAATAGGCCCTGGCAAAACTTAGTTCAGTGGTATAAACGCACCTTAATCGTACTTACTACCACTAACAGGCCTGTAGAAGCGACTAGTTGATTCCCTTGCAGAGGAGGAGTCTTGAAATAGTATTCTCGAAACACGCCCTGAGTAGCTCCGAAGCCTACATTCATGATTGTCAAAATGGCCTGCAACAGGGCGACCCTCATGTTGACTTACCCCAGGTTGCCATCGCAATGACGGAGATAGCGATGAGACTCGTCCAAGCTAATCTCCCGCTGTCTCGAGGGGGTAGATTCTCATCGACATCATGCTGCTCTTCGCTAAGTGAGGGAGAGTTGGGTACCAACACTGGTCCCGTGCTCACCGACTTCTCATTTGGCAGCGGCGTCTGCCTCTCCAGCTCACTCGAAATCATCGTTGTGCAAAAGTCGATTTGGGTGCTAGAAAGACGAGAGGGATGGTGTAGAAAGCAGCACGGCGACTGCCACTCTCGATTGTTGTATGTGGTAGGATGCCTGGAAATCGACTGGTTAGGTGTGAGAGAAGGTATGTAGGAGGTATGATTGGAACACCAACGTTGGTCGTGCTTACACGTATACGTAAGCTTGATTGATGGGCTTCCTGACTTGGCAAACATAGACGAAAGATCAATCCAACATGCCATGAATCTTGTTATGCTTAGCCGAAGACACTAAGTCCGCCGCTAAGCCCGGCGCGAACCGAGACGTTGACCCATCGCACGCCTCCCGGGCGACGACTAGACAAGAACGGATGGCAAAGTATCAACATGTACTGCTCAAACCGGATCTCGGTGCGGTCTGAGCAAGCGCGGATCTCGGGCGTGAGTCGCGGTTCACGAAATTTGAGCGACGGAAACCTTTTTGGATCACAATCCTTGTCGCTTTTGCACGTTTTACGATTAGGTCGGCGTTTATTCGTTGGCAAAAGTGCCAAGTGAGATCTCCTTTGAGGCCCCTGCATCCCGTTGTGCCTCATTTTCTCGTCCCGTTGCTCCGACGCGGCATTCCTTATCATGAATGACTTGACAAGGATTTGCGTCCAATCCAGAGTGCCGGCTGAAGCCGCACACCGTAAGTTTCACAGGCAACCAGCGCACTTGTCCGCCTCGGGATATATAGTAAGCTTGGACTGTTACTAAACAGCTAACAGGATTTGGCAGAGACGCAGACGTTGTGAAATATGACAGTGGAGCTCTGAGCCCCGACCGGAAGCTTTCGCAGCCAATCATTTAACCTAGTGTTCTCGGCCCGAGCAAGATTATGCTCCTAGTACGTGATGCGTCTCGGTGAATATGCAGCTCGACTAACTCCGTTGATCCTTCAGAGGGTTCACGGATCAACATCCTTGCACCCAACGGTGATTAAGCTGTGAATTCAGCCTCCGACGTCTGAGGAGACTAGCTACGTGGGGGGTTCGACTCCTACCCCGTCTGTCTACTGAGTCGCCCGCTGATCGTCAAGTTAGTTCAGGTGATTTGAGACCTTCTCGATGTAGCTCCCTTCCCTACTCTTAGGCAGCGACCATGGTCGATACGAATGGACGAAGAGGGAAGGATGATATGCGAGATTGATGTTTCCGGATAAAATACTCGTTGCTTACCTAGTTGAATGATGGCGGCTTAGATGCCACCATCTCAGTATGGTCAACAACACGTTTCAATGCCTTGGTCCCGGAAAGTCTTGAGGCCAACTCATCCATGTAACGTTACGGAATAAGAATGTGCTGACGAGATGAGCTGACAATACCACACTGGTGCTTGCTAAGCGTGAGTGTTGATAACTTGTACTAGCGATCCGCGCGTGCCAACCAACTGTGCCATACTCGCCCCGCAGATCGTCATGAGCGAGTTAGAGGGTCTTGAATTCATCCATCGATGTCTTTCAGGCGCTATTATCTCCTGACCAGTCTGTTTTGGCTTTTCTTTTTGGATGGGACCCTTGCTGTGCAATATTCAAAGAAATAGAATACCTTACGTGAAGACCCTCTAGTCGGATGGATTGAACTTATGGATGTTTTCAAGCCTTGAAACTCGGTCCTATTGATTCAAGTGTATACAAGGAAGAGCTTGAGGAAAGCTGCCCAAGACTGTTGATGAAATTGAAAGAAATGTCACGGAACATTGATCACATGTCACTTTATCCATCAATTACACCTGTTCAGCCAAATTTCCGGCCTGAAATACGGCAGGCTGGACTACTTCTGCAAGCCAAATCGTGAACAAGATTCGCTTAGACCGAATGTAAGGAATGATTACAAACACGTGTTGTTTTTTTATTCCTCTTTTGTTCAAAACACTACGAAAAGCAGAAACCAAAGTTGAGTTGTCTTCAGCCATAAGCTCATGTTAGACCTTGCAAACACGACCTGAGTAATTAAGATAGGTCATCGTGCTTCGATATTCTGTTATCGTTGAACTCCACTACACATGACTGGTGATCATGCTTAACTATTCTGAAATGTGACGTTGATCTAGGCTGATTTGACTGAACTTGGTGGCAATAGGCTGACAAAAAGAACAAATCATCATCCCACACAAACGTGACGAGGCTCTAACAATTAAAGACTCTGAGGTAGCCTTTTCTCCGAACTTAACGGGATGAGGCTTTCAAGAAAAATTACACAATACGGTACACTCTTGACTACACGGTACGCCCAATGTGTCCAAAGCACGCGCTCAACTCAATACTATATGGTATTTCGATACAAGAGGCTATGTCATCCATCCAAAATAGTAAATTAAAGTCCGATTGGCCCATGGCTTCGATAATCTGTGGGGTGACAGTGTGACCCACACGGGCCAATGGTTCTTATTCTTAGCCAAGGTAAATGTTCGCTTTGAACTCCATATTACTCCTCACCAACTATAAACTCAAGTATTGTCACCTCCCGACCCAACTCGCCACTATCTCAATCATCAGTATGTAGCTCATAAGTGCGACGTTTGAATTTCATGCATAGTCGAAGAAATCAAAATACGCTATTCTGTCTCATACGTACATGTAAGATGAAGACTAAGTGTCGCATAAAGGAAGACTTGCAAGGCCTCGCCGTCACTTACACAAAGAGGGGTTCGCGAAGATCGCCAAGACGTGCGAGATTGCCAAGCGATCTGGCATATATTGGGCTTGGGTCGACACGTGCTTAAGCGACAAGAGTAACAGTGCCGAACTCACCGAATCTATCAATTCCTTGTTGCGCTAATATTAAGAAACCGAAATTTGCCATTCGTACCTCTCCGATTCTATGATGCCACAAGCGGCCAGCGATCAAGTGTCAAAAGCAGTTGCTACTGGCGTGACTTCAAGGATTTCCGCTGGTTTGCTCGGGGATGGATTTTGCAATACCTTTTTTGCACCTAACAAGGTAGTCTTCCTCGACAGGCACTGGACAGTCTGCGGCACAAAGAAGTCTATGCGCGAACAGAGATCGAAGATCACCTGTATCAGTACCTGCGTCCTAGAGGAATCTAGCCGCTTGAGCACCATACAAATTGGCAGCAGAATACCTGGGCCGCGACAAGCCATACTACGTGAAAGGAGGACCGCGCGCACAGCTTGTCCGACATCTCTGGGGTGAGCTTGCCTGTCACTTATGGCCATTGGCGAGGGACCCAAAGTATTTTAACATCTTCACGAAGCGATACTACAAGACTGCACTTATCTCTCTAGAGCTTCTTGGCATAATGAAATTGAGAAACTTGATGGTGTCTCTGAGCAACGATATCAAGGCCTCAATACGAACTCGTCTTCCGATTTTTGTGGCTGTACTGATTTTTGTCCTCTATCGGGGTTGATGGACGACCCCGGCGACATTGACATGACCAACAAGAGAGTGAATTGGTCGTTAATGGCTGAGTAGCGTGATACGCCTCTACGAAGGGTACTCGCACCAATCCCAGCCTGGATCAGACTCATCTCCGCAGAATCCCTCCTGAATGTCGAGAAGGGCGGTCCACGCACATAGTCTATTTGCGACACGAAGTCAGTTGTCCTGATTGGGGAGATCGTTGTGTTTACCTGCAAGCGTTTCGGGAAAAGTTTTCCTCTGTAATACGAGCGCGAAGGTCTGTGCCTGAAGGATTCCGGGATCCGGCGCATTGCCTCAAAAGATTCGAGTATCACATCTACAGAACCCTATCTACAACCCAGTCCGATGCCATTCTGTCTAGCTTTGAGCATCACTTCACACTACCGTACGAAATCTGACAGCCGCAACCTTGGTTACTCGAGCTCATCAATACTTCACTCCCGCGAGTGTGGAATCGGGTATATCAGTCCGTCCAAATTCCTGCTCAACACGTAGGTATGACAGCCATCACTGTCCGGCTTATGCCAGAGAAAGTCATGAATGGGGTGATCGCGAACAGGGGCATATTGCACGAACCTTGGGTATACCGCATTTCAACGTCGCAATGGGACTTGTGCAGAATGGGTATGGCGATTTGAAGACCTGGATAACCACCCGCAACTAGCGAAAGCTTGGCTACCGAAGAAAATGTCCCCGCCATCTCGGCATCGTTGAGCGATGCCATGGCAAGCGTATCCGAGTCACGTCTGCCGGAAGATGAGGAACTTGCGCTCTCAGGCTGTGACGCCTTCCAGTCCGCGGGTGGGCTCACGACACTCGCCCCCATGTCGATGAGGATATTTTACCAATCGAAAATGACCTTACAAAAGAAAGGCTTCGTCCTAAAAGAAATCGTAGAACGATCTATGCTGGTCAAAGCGAAGACCAAATCCTATTTTGACCCGGACAGGATGATCGAGCATGAAGTCACCATCCCCGTCACGCCTGCTGCAGCATCTGGTAAAAGCCTCCGGCATATTGAGTACTACCTATTGGGAGCTTGAGCCAAATCTCTAACTTGACTTGGATCCTGGCTGAAGTGGTTCTAAGTGTAAGCCGGTAGGATAATGCTGGCACGGGGCGAGTCCACTGACAGAATCTGTTGAAAGCTGCCCTCCTCGAGAGAGCTTGGGAGCTCTCTGCTTATGTATCCATCTCTGAGAAGATAACCCCTCAGAAGCAAGAGATTCGACGTCTTTCGGCTCTAATATACCCTATCAAGGGTGTCCCGATATACCCTTCAGCTCATTGTTGAGAGTGCGCCGTTTCGTGAAGGTAGCTGATGAACAACTATGTGGAGCTCATGCGAAACCTTGATCTTTGCCATCGTTTCAATTGAAGCATGTGGAGAGAATGCGAGATGTAGTTCCTGGATCTTTTGTAAATTTCTCGTTGTTATCCAACCCATTTCCGTCTCTGCGGGGTGTCGTTCAGCTCGACATAACCAGTGGAAACTTGATGTGCTCGGCCACACGTAAGGATTCCAGCTTTTCCCACATGTACTTCACAATATATCGAATTAGTTGGTTACATGCAAAAATGCCTTGGTTTCTAGTTGAGAATTCAAGCGAAAATGGATCAGAACAGTTGCGTTAGACAGCTTCCAACAAGGCCAACGGAATTTAGGTAAACCCGATGTGGGCGAAATACATGCAAGAGCTGGACTTCGTGAGAATCAAGCTTTCTGCCAAATGCTGCCAAATGCTACTCTAGGAGTAGAACGGACAAAGTACTGTAGACAAGGAGGCGGGATAACTCATACAGCTTCATCTTCAACTCCACGAATCCATAATCTCACAGCGTAATTGTTGCACCTTCCCTTTTCTCATGAACTGAAGCTTAAAAGGGTATGAGGTCGGCGAAAAGCTTTTAGAGTTTCTGTATCGCTTCCCCGCGATAGAGAAACCGAAAAGCCTAGAATCAGTCCACGACGTGGCGCAATGCGTCTTTGGATTGTCTGCGACTGCCGCTAGTGCCGTTTAACCGGAGAATCCGGGCCTGCTAATCACCAATCATCCTCCCTCAGGTTACAGAGTAAGTGCGGTCTAGCACCAAATCTTAATTTTCTGGGAAAACCATCTTCATGTACGGTAAGCCTTAAGGTAAGCTGATGCTTTGGAGAATGATGAGCAATTGTGGATCAAGGGGGTTCGGGGCTGTCAAGGTTGGTCAAGGTGGTGAGGGTTGTTTGCCAAGGGGGTCGAATTCCAAGATTCGGCCGGTCAAGCAAACATCCGCGCGCGTAAGAAGAACAGCCTCAAGGCTCAACCGGCACGAGACTGTGACATCGCAGCATCCCAACAACCAACGGACACTTTTGGCGACATCTCATTCGCCATTTGTCTCAAATCCTCATGAATTACCAGATTCCCGGGGCAAACAATCCAATGTTCAGATGGCAGATCGTCACCAACCATGTCTAGGTTCTTCCTTGGCAGCGAGACTCTTACAGGCTAGCCCAGCCACCAGAACCTTAAACGCTTAATTGAACCAGGGTCTCACAAGCCACTGTAAACCGAGACCGACATTTTGGGTTTTTTTTGGCGGCGTGCGGGTAGTCGCTCCGCTGTCAGAAATGCCAATTAAGCTCGCTGGTAGGATGAGAACAAGGGGTTTGGCCAGGCCCACTTCCATGGGAAACCGAGACCGACGGGCTGATTTGCACTGCCATTCTCCCTCGAGATAGTGACATGACGTTCCAACCACACAGCCATTCTAACTGACGCTGGGCGTTTTCGTTGCTAAGCTAGTTTCGTCAAACCACTTGCGGATGATGCGGTCCATCATTACACTGGCCATGAAAAGGCCGTACGCGTATAGAGTAAACTTACGTGGGCGTGTATAATTCATATAGAAACCTGCATGCCTCCCTGATCCTCTTTGCATCTTGGAGATCCCAACATCGCAGCATCAATCTATTCTGGACAGCGAAAACCCTCAGTCCTTCGAACCCCTTGCCACCATCACCGAGTGTATCACCACACATCGCCCGCCAAATATCATCTATCACCAAAGCAAAGATGGATAAACTCGCTAGTATGCCCCTGTTCGACAACCGGCACATGATGAAGGTCCACATTGTGCAAATCATTGTGATTCACATCGTCATGGGCCTCTCCGGTGCCAGAATATTCCTCAAGGGCGGCCCAGTGACCCGTACAAACACCATGTCTCTGGGTATAGTGAGTAAAACCTTTCCTAATTGTCGTCTTTGCAGCCGCCAAGCACACAGAACAACTCAGATCGACTCTGGTGCAGTTGCTGCAATGACTCAAATCAAAAAGTGCAGTTGACTAACATCAACAAACGCATAGTCCGTGAAGTCCATGGTCTTCATCATCTACCAAATCGCAACTCAGCACTGGGCCCGAGGCCGGGGCTGGGCTTCCCTGAAAGCCAACGCCATCCTCAACGGTCTCGAGCCCGTCTTCTGGGGCGCCGTCGTCTTCATGTCCATCCAGGGTAACATCCAGCGCTGCGTCGGAACGAGCTGCATCCTCAGCTGGGTTATCGTCGGATGCGGTATCTTCCTCAAGTAAGTCTTCCATTTGCCATACGAATTGTCCGCCTTAAGACATGAGAACTGACTGGGAACTTTTTCCACAGCCTCCTCGCCGCATACACCGCCGTCGTATCCTTTGTCGATTTCAAATACTTCCGCCGCACTGGCACTACCCGCGGCGTCTCGGTCGACCGCAAGGCACCGATGCACACCGAGGAGATCACTTCGACTGGTTCTGTTGAGGACCAGGAGATGGCGCAGCCGAGAAGAAAGGTCGAGAGGATGTAAAGAAAGAAGCATCAAATTCGCCATCCAGGAAACCAAATTTGAGCGAGAACACTCTTCCGCCAACACTATAATGAGCAACGTAGCCGGTCTTAGAGGGGTTCAGCTTGGGATGGTGAGGGATTGATACATAATATCCCAAGGGGTTCTGCGACGGGGACGGCCGAAGGAAGCCACGAAAAGGCACGATAGGAGGGGTCAAGGTATTGATGAATTGTTTTTCTGGTGGCGTACTTGGAAATAAGGTTAATATCAAGAGACGAGTTTAAGAGATATACCTACCATAGTAATGATATAGACAAGCACACTTCAGTCTAAAATGTTCCCAGTCAACTCCAAAGTCGACAATTTAGCAACTGTACTCGCCAGCTTTGCGGCAATGCTCCCCTCAAATCCTGAAGGTTTCTTCTCACTATCCCATCCTACGTTTTAAAAGAAAGCGGACCTAGAAATCATTCATCAGGATCGGTCTTCTACCACGAAAATTTCAGTACCAATCAGTCAACACTTGATTAAAGCACCTGCAAGATAGCAACACAAGTTGCACTACACAGGCGAACCTCTCTTTTGGTGATGTAATGGAATAGCAAATCAAAACAAACACGACATCTGTCCAAATCTGCAGAAGCCATCATACGCTCCCAGCCCGCCCCACGCGGAGATCAGACGACGGACGCCCCCAATCCGCTGCGCTCCCCAGTACCCTGGCTGTCTGGAAAACTCCAGACGATCAAACCAACAGTCTGACCCAATCGCAACACACCATCCACCTCAAACATCAGACGAGTCCGACCTCGACCCTGCCCGAACATCAGACGGAGCATGCTCCAGCCTAACAGCACAATCTTAATCAGTCCCATCACCATTCTAGAAACACGCACCAGACTTGAAGTCCTAGAGACATTCCAAAGAAACATCATAACATCACGCAGGTTCCCAGACTGGCGAATACACACGATGATGCAGCATATTCAGAGCCATGACGCCGAGACCACAACCTCAAAACTCTCCTGGTCCATGAAGCCTTCTCTTCGCAGGGCAAACAGGCAGCGCAACTTTCTGTGAGTCCCCCAACCCTAACTCTCACCATCAGCCAAGACAAGTCCACCTAGCGAAAATCCCCACCCTGAAACTCAAAGACCCTCCATCCCTCCCCGATCCCATCCCATCCGCGCATGACGCTTCCTGCCCTCATCTCCCTCCGACCAGGACCACGCTGCATCCTTGTGCTTCAAATGTAAGACAAAAGAAAGAGGAAACCACGACACCCTTGAGGTTCTCGTGTTTTCCAGTTAGTAGATGCACTCAGGTTTGGCATGAAGACATAAGAAGCAATCATGAATGTGATTCTTCCATTACTCGTGTTTCCTCCCTCCCCTTTTGCCAAGTCGACTGGAAGACTATATAGATTCGCCTTGCATGCTTCACAAGGCTCGCCGACTTCCCAGTTTCTTCCCAACCTCTTCCCTCTCTTCGTCCTGCATCTTCACCTCCAACCTTCCTCGTCTCTCATCAGTTACACCCCGGCGCCGGCCCTCTAACGCACTGCTTGCCGCCGAATCTGGTGGTATCTCAAACAAAAGAAAGTCGTGGAACAAATACGTTCCCTTTGTGCCTGCAATCATCCAGATTTGTCCTGGGCCCCCGACTGAGTCCGACTCAGCCAGGCGCCACCATATATCTCCCTCACTCCCTTCATCCGTCTTTGGCTCATTGTTCCATCATTCTCAATCATTAGTCGAAGCATATCACAGCCACACATCCCTCAATCCGTATCAAAGAAGCTTCCAGTCCTCTTCAACATACTTAAATCAACCAGACCCATGACGTGTCCGTCCATCCTCCTCACCTGCTCGTCATACAACCACCACGTACAGCAGACCGCGATCGCGACCAAGATCTGAGCGACGCCGAGGCCGATGACGGTCGACTTCAAGCCAGCCCACATGACAATGGCATTGGGAATCGTCATAACAAAGATGCCAGCGAACAAGTTCCTCCAGCACGTCACGCCGGCATTCATGTCGGCCACATTTCGCAGGCACACGTTCATATTAGACGAGGTAAATTGCGTCGAGCGCCAGATGATGGGACGGATCGCGGTATCGACGACAGTAACACCTGCTGCCAAGAAGCCCAGCAGGAAGGACAGAAGAGGGAAGGAGAGATGTGCGCCGACGCCATCTAACTTGAAGACGCTGGCGGGATCCTCGTCAGCCACCTCGGACATGACGGCGTTCGTCTTGAGCCCAAACGCAAGGATACCGGTAGCCGCGAGGACAGTCCCACCAGCCAAGGTGCAGAAGGTATGGTAGGGTGAGTAACCGACGTGACGTTTTTGATAAACGGCAAGGCCGGTAGCGGTGAGTATCGAGAAAATAAAGGGCGCCGCCATGAGCGACCCGATGCTGTTCTCCCGGAGCATCCACGGCATGGGGAAGAAGAGGAGCGACAGAGATTCCGTCAAGCTCCACAGCGCGCAGTACGGAATGAATGTGATGACGAAGAGCAACAGGGTCGTGGGCGCGACGAAAGCGCGCGGTGCCTGGAGCAGCGTGCGGATATCCGTCATGCCGGAGAAAGACAGAGGCTTCATGGTACGCAGGTAGGCCTTGACTTCCTCGACGGATGGCTTTCCGAGCGGCTTTGGAGGCTTCGACATCCACGACACCCCGGACGCAGGGGTTTGGGCGACGCTGCCACTGGACCATCGGTCGTAAGCCGTTTCGGGAGCACCGAATAGGATCAGCGGTATGGCAATGATCTGAAAGGCATTAATGATGTCGAACTGAATGGTGAAGCTGCCCGCGTTAAAGGAAGCCAGGCCTCCGAATAGAGGTGCACCCCAGGTCGTTGCAATCGAAAAGACGTGGTAAATCGTGATGCGAGCGCTGCGTTCATGTTCCTGGATGGACGTCAGTAAGTGGTCATGCCTACCGCATTTCGCGATGGAACTTCATTCAGGCGACTCACAAAGTAAGTGTCCTGTATTGAACCGAGGACGAGTGAATCAAAGGCACCCCAACCGAGGCCCTGGAAGACGCGCGCTCCCATGCACTGCCCAAAACTGTTGCCCGCACGCATGTTCCAAATCGCGCCGATGAGGATCAACACCACCGAGACCAAGTAGACCGGCCTCTTACCCCATATCTTTGATACTGCCAGACTGAAGAGACCTGTAAACGCAGACAGGACGAGTGGTACGGCAGTCAAGGACGCCACTGCTGTATAAGAGACATTAAATCTGACGGCGAGAACACTATTGACGCTCATATATGCCGTCTTCATCCCTCCGATCAGGCCCACGGTCATTAGTAGAGAGATGAAATTGAGTTCTTTTTTCCATTGCGGCCAGTTCTGCGACAGGCCTGTCAGTCTCTGCCCACTGTGAAATGCTAGACCGAACCTACCAACGGATCCTCTGGGTCATCGTTCGGCTGAGGACTCAGTTCTGTTTGCGAGTACCTTCCGGTCCCGTACTTGATCTTCCGTTGACTCATTGTCGTCGAGAAGGACAGGCGCTTCGTCGAGCTCGTCATTGGTCGTGCGGGCTCGTCTTTTGGGGGCGGCGGCGGCGGTCTCGCGAACGACATCATCCTCGGGGCCTTTTCCGGTGCAGCATGGCTCTCTTCTGGCCGCGCTGGATCAAATCCGCCTTTTTCCATATCCCTCTCCATCATTCCCGATTGCTGAGTTCCCAGTCGGGGTAAGTTGTCGCACAAATGGAGCCCAGCTCCGGTAGATATAAAAACTGAACCAGCAGTGAGGACAGAAGAGAAATGAAGGCGACGGTTACGACCAGCCAGTGAAGTAGATGTATTGCTGAAGAAATAAAGACAATAAAGGGAGGGTCTAAAAGAGAATATGGTTGATTAGATTAGATATCAGACGATCGGGCCGTCCAAGCAATTAAGCTGGTACAAAGTCTCATTCTATGATGAAAGATGGAAAACTACAGTCGATGTCCGAACTTCCTGAAGGAAAAGAACTGTCAGCAGGGACTCGAGATCCTGACCGGCTGCAAGCAACATGATGCAATGCCACCGGCCCTAGGCATGACAGGCCCCCAGACATGTGTATCCTTATGGTTACCAGGCGTCGTGAAGGCGGCGATGGCCAGGACTTCGGCCTTGTCTTCCGCGCCATCATTGGATGAGACATGGTTGCAGGGATATCAAGCCCTGTCAAAACGGCCCCCGTCCGATGTGCGCTTGGACCACCGTCGGCCTGGGCAGACGACGGGCTGAAACCTTCCTGATGCTAGTTCTGTCTCTTGAGTATTCTTCGCTGGGCCTGGCTCTATTGTTTCCCCGACCAGGTATCATAATGCCTGGAAATAATCTCAACTTTGGGAGGTGGAACACAGAAAGGGCGGCTCGGTTTCTGGTATTCGATGTCGGCCGACACCTTCATGGTGCATGGGGGTGGCCAATGTTAAGGCAAGGATAATTGGAATCAAAGTAAGTCGATCGCGAGTTGCAGGAGCCGACAGACTTATGACACCAGATGACGACCAGCATAGTTCGGCTCTTTTCCCCGTCCCCGTTCCGTTTTGACTTTTTGACAGATGGTCAACGGTTGACGCGCGTACAGCTGGTTGCAACTTTGCGGCGTAAGTTGCGCTCGTCTGGCCCGGCGCAGCTTCAACTGAAGCCTCCATTTCGCTTAAGCTGATGAGAATATGTCATTGTTAATAACCCGCTTGCGATGGCCACGGCCAGTCCCCGGCGGCCTTCCGGCCTCATGGCCTTTCACCTAGTGCGGCCAACATCTCGAGACCACGTTGTGGCACCAGCATGAATGAGGCTCTACCATTTGGAACAGAACGCACTAACCGAGCCACTTTCTAAGGTAACTTTGTTGATTCTTCGGGGGCGGGCTCTGTAAATTGGCCCGCTGGCCATGGGTCGGAGGGGCACCCCTTCGTTGCAGGCCGTTTCGCAAACCACCAAACAACAAGGATCCTTGTCAGACTGCGCAGAGTCATACCCGTGGCTCTTGCTGCCGGTGTTAGCGTTGAAATAGCCTCGAATAGGGCGCGTCTGTCCTGATCCGTAACCCCGAGAAGGTATTTTGCGACCAAAGGGTGCCGCCAACTATTCCGTGAAGAGCTGTATTGGTGTAATGGAGTTACCGACGTTGAAAGCTGCAGCTTCGATCCAGAGTTGCAGTCCGTCTCTCACCGGTGAATCAATGTCACACCACGTACTCCGCGCCGCAGTCGTCGATTTTCTGATCAACAACTTTGACACCATAGCAACGAAATGGACCTGACGTGAACGTACTTGCGGCCGGCGGGATCGATCATCTCAACGGCCGGCAAGCGGATGACTAACCAACATTCCTAGTTGTTTGTCTGCCCTATTGCCCCTCTTCCACAACGCTCGGCTGGAGCAAGGCCCCCGCAGCGTCGATCATACATGGAGCAGTCGGATGTGTATGGAGCGTCATCCAAGGGATAATCCGCCAGATTCTGGTGGACGTCTGTTCAATTCAACATCCCCAGTGGCCTTGGCAATTACTTTGTCAAGATCGGGGGCCTCTATATCGTTGTGTATATCCTCAAAGATCATCCATCCCTTTTGTCTATCCGCATCGCCGCTGTTGGCCTTTGCGGTGTAACGCCGTCTAGACCGAATTCACCGAAACGCCCTTTCCAAATTCCATGTTGTATCTATCCCCGCGACGAAATGATTCTAGTCAATGTCGATCGCCCTCCCTCTCCCATTATGCCAGGCGCATGATGATGTCGCCAAGATGCTGAAACGTCGACTCTTCTGTATCCAATGCATGCAACTCATGCAATGCGTAGTTGGCCTTGCGGCCTCGGCAAGAGACAAGCGACGTGTTTCGCTCTCCGGCGGCCCCGAAAGATCTGTTCGGTTCGGTTTTTGGTCTATTTCTTGTGCATAGACAGAATGTGACGGGCAGACACTGATGTTAAGTTCGCTAGGGTCCTGAGATGACCGCTTTCTTCACATGACAGCGACTGCTTGAGGCTGGAATGGTCGCATAGCGGGTGCCATCAAGACAGTCTCCACTGCATGGGCACTCTTCGCGTCGAGCTGCATGAAAAAGCCTATAAAGAGGACGGCAGAGTTAGCAAAGTGATCTAGAAGAGTCGGAAGAGATGTGGTAGTGGTGTGGGTGTTCTGACGCTGGATGTTCGTCTTCACGAAGGTGGCCGCTACTAAGTAGCCAAGTTCTGGGAGGCGTTCCATCCTAGGGAGAACAGGCGGTGACGACGTTGACTCAGCCAATACCGATCTGCGAGGACTTGGCCTACTTGCTTGCACTTCTCGAAACTTTTCGATGTTGATGTTGCGAGTCGAGGTCGTCGACACTGCGAGCCCTGGGGTAGTTGTAGGGTGCTGTGTTTAACCGGCCCGGTCTGTGCCGGACGGAAAGGACTTTCATGAAGCTATGATGGTTGATTTACCTGAGTCGACAACTTCTTGGACTGCTGATTTCTCCATCGCCAGCAGTACTTGGCTTGTGCGAACCAGTAACTCTGATGTCATTGTTAGTCGCTTGCCGTTTGCCTGCCAAAGGGGTTTGAACATGGTAATCTTACCTTGGTAGTGCAGAGAGTAGGCGACAGGAGCGTCCTCGTCCAATCCGCGGTAGACAGGTAGACGCTCCTTGGTAATATCGGTGACGCGGAATCGCAAGCCGACGTTCTTCGTAGCATCAGCCCACAAGATGGTGCTCTCGTCGATTGGCGCTTGCCCTGCTGGGCAAATGGCAGTCCTGGCGGCTGCCTTTGCTAGCCAGCGTCTCCAGACTCGTACCACGCCATTCTCAATATTGCTGTGACTAGCGAGAAGACCGGGGTTTGGACTTGACTTGGCCAGGCTAGTTGTTGTGCAAAGTTGAGAAAAGAGCTCTCCGTCATCCAGGATAAGTTCTTGAACGACTGGCTGATCACCGATTTCTTGCTCAAGTGGGGCGCCCAGCATCCGTCGACCGAACACCCTCCGCATGCGTCGCGTCTCTTCCGAGACGACCGGGCGGAAGTGGGAGTAGAGGTGAGAGAGATCACGCAAGTCCATGTCTTCCCCGCCTGTCCACTGGTATCCCAGGAAGTCAACGCCTGCAAATCTACACGTCATGGATGGTGTTGAGTTCCTGGCACTTGGGTGGTAGCTCTCCAGCATCACCTCGTGCCCTTCCATCTTCGCGGTATGGAGGAGGCGGTGTTGCAGTATTGTGGTGGCGGTAGCATTGAAGCGGCGGTCGACAGTCGTTAATGGCAGCAGCTCGCGAGACTCAAAGGTGGATAGGATCGCAATGAGAAGCTGTTCAGGGCAAAGGTAGTTAGCGGGAGTGTAGCACACTATGTAAGAGTGATGGCGCTCTGCTGTGATGGGCAATGAAAGGTGCTTACCTCATTGGGTAATGAGTCAATTGGTGTTGTTAGAGTGAGACCAGACATGTTGGTAGTCGTAGTTTGATGGCAAAGATGCAAGATGATTGTAGTAGCTATGTGAAGCAAAGGCTCGTGCCGTTTAGGAAGGACCGGAATAATGCCCCAAGGACTCGTCGAGGTAGGTCATATTTAAGTAACTGATCATGAGTCCGAAGCAATGTCGAAAGGGGAGTGTATGCTGAGATTGCGAGGGGTGGCTAGAGAGAGTGGTCGGATTGGGTGAAGGTATCTTGAAGAGACAGCCCGATAAGGTGGAGATGCCGAAGGGCAGGGCAAAAAGTGTACCCTCACGGATCAGTCACCAATTAACGTGGACCCTGCCAGGAACAGAGATTCTGTTCGTGGATAGGGGACGCGATGACGAGGGCGTGTCTGCAGATTAGAGGCTTTGTGGCGCGATTGATACTGATGTGATGGTCGTGCTTTGGGTGCAAATTATCGGCGCGAAGTGGCTGATGATTCAAGGTTGATGGTCGCGGGAGAGTCGAAAACAAAGTGGATACGGTGACATGTCGGCCAAAAGTTGGATGATTCGAGACAGGGAACTGGGTCTGTCAACTTTCAAGGCCCATGAATGAGCGGGGATTGCCGGGCCGTTACGGGCCTGACTATTTCCGGTGTAATGTCCGCCCGGCCAGTTACCGTCTGCCCGGTTTCGGTCAGTGTCGGTGAGTCTGTTTGGTCAACAGAAGGTGGCTCCTTCCTTTCGAAACTGGCAACCAAGGCTGCCTTCCGAGTGGCTCCTACCGCAGCGGCAAGTGTGGCTGGGTGACTAAGAGTCACCTTATGCGCCACGCCCGATTTGAACAAGTGCATCTACGAAGCGAGCGATCCCGCTGCACCTTGTTTTTCCTCGCTTCTGCGGGCACTTTGCTCGCCAACATCCACCCGGCAGAGACAGTGGAGGCCAGCAGCACCAGTTTTCAATTCAAATTACCCAGTTGTTGACACTATCATCTTCAAGGTCTGGGTTAAGATTGTTCAGTAATCGACTCATTCCTCACAGATACGAAAAGTTGCAATGGCCTGCGCCTCAAAGCTCAAAAAGACGATAACGAAAACAAGAAGCCTTGACCAGCCCCGATGTCCGGCATTGACCGTCATCTACCGGTTTCGTCCGACTCCCAGGATAACATCATGATCACCCCATCCGAACCGTCTTACGAGACTCTCGAGTCAGAACCCACTTTCGCACTACTCAATAAACAGGCGGTGGGAGCCTCAATCTCGGGATTCGTCCTAGCTTCGCAGTCCAGGTCCAGACCTCCCAGCCCTGCACGCCCTGTTCGGACCTGACATGCGTCACAAATGCTTTACTTTCTCTCCGAGTTATGAGCGAACGAGGTCCCCAATTCCTTCTCGAAGAACGTCCGGGCCATGCACACGCCCATCAAGCCCCCACACACCCCCTGCTTCCCGTCGCGCCTGGTTCTATCGTTTCCTTGTCCGGCCCGCCGAGATAACAACGCGCATGGCGTGACATGCCGTTACCTGCTGCGCCGTTGTGAGGCCGCTCCATCCTGATCCAGCCGAAGCTCAGGAACGAAGTACACCGCTGGGTTTTCTGAGGCTGCGGTACATATGCAGAATGATCCCCAAAACATCTGCGTTTGTTTCTGGTTATCGTAGTTCCAACACGTATGATACGTTGAAAACTCGGGCCTGGAGGAGAAGAGGAACAAGAGTCGCAAGGGAAATCTCTTCTTCTTACAGGTCATTCGGATGTCTTTATCACAAGCCAGCGCCCCGACCCTGCCTTCGGATCTTATCCCTCTATCAACACAGCATCTTCTAACATTGAAGTATATCATCATACCACACGATTACACGCCGTCATATTACCTGCACCTTCGCGCGGGAGCGAGAGTAGGAATCTGAGCGACGCTAGGGCCCTGGACAATAACTTGAACGTGGAGCGGCATGTCGGGCTGTACGCGTCAGGGGAGTAAATGCTAGACGCCGGCCGAGAACACGCTGCTTCCGTCCGCGACGCATCCTTTCATGACGCCCAATCTGTCGATAGATTGTCTTGAACTGATCAAAGAACTCTTGAATATTATACAAATAAGAAACGCCGCTCTCGCAGGGTGAGGAGCGCGAGGAACCAAGCCACGCTAGGCTTCAACGCGGCGCGGAGGCTAGAGCCTTGACCCGGGGTTGATGGCCGCCTGGCGCAGGAAAAATCGTCAGATCCGACGAGCGACAATCGATGTTGAGCAATGCCGTGTCTGACGCCATCCTAATGCTCCTGCGATCGTCCACAGGGATCTCAAGAAGGCAGAAGCCCGGTATAGTCATCTCCAATGGCCTTCGCGTTGCACCATCGGTGGCCCTGCTTGGCGGTCCTTCTCTACCAACATCGTACCGTGAGCTGTGTGTTCCTGCAGCTACATCGTGCCAGGTGACGGTCAAGGCAAGAAGGCAGTGACCTGAGGAGAGACTTCCGCCGCATCCGGTATGTTGGTCATCGCCATTACATCGGTGCACAATTGAGTATGGCGCTGGCGGCTAGGTTTTTGCTTGATTATGCGGTCAATGAAAAGTTGAATCACGTTTGCCTTGAAAGCTTGCTACACCAGGATTCTATGATGCCAGATGTCTTCCATTATCGCGTTGCTCGTACAATCCACCATTAGAAAATGACACATAGTAATATATGGATATCCTGTCACGTAAAGGTATTCAGCCTCGTTGCAGGCGGCATTTCCCCGCCGCAGCCATTTATCCATAGGAACCAAATGAGAGATCTTACCATGAGGCGTCGTAAGCTGCCAGGAACCGTTTGTTTCCTTGTGTATTACATGTATACTCTCCAGCCTTTTCCCATCGTCAAGGTACTTTTGTGAGACTACTTGGCCATGCAGGGTCTGCAGGCAGGCTGATTTTGTGTCATAATGCCTGAATATCACGGACGTATCGGCTGGCGGCGATGCCATAGCCTTGTAATGAATTTACTTCAAGCAGATTAGTTGAATGACATCTTTGACACCTATCTCAATGTCTTTATGTAAGGAAAACCGCCATGAACAACAGCATCTATACCTCTTCCAATGTTGCCTCACAGGCACAGTGTATTGAAACTTCCAAAGCCGTCTTTCTTCCCAGTTAGTCCGAGTCTGGCTTGCAAGTAGGACTATACCTTTCAGCATTCCATGACCTGGTCGGTATTTCATAGAAAGACTTGTCTGGTACATGTTCAGCTTTGCGTCGCTTGGCTACCTACCCGAGAGAGGGCGGGAAGGGGAAGGGGGGAATGAGGTGTGCTCCACTGCTCTCGACAGAGGTCTATTCTGTCACTCAACAGAGCGACTATGCCCCTAAGGGATCAGTCTACTGGATGGGCAGCCCTTCGTCTGGAGAGTGATCTCTTCCTATGCCAGAAGGCCTTCCTTTTCCTCTTCGAATGTCTCTACAAACATCCTAGTGGGCCAAGATATAAGGGGGGACGGTCGCACCTGGCGTCAAAATAACACGGAAACTGCATTACGCAACTACAGGAGGCAGGATCTCAGGTACCTGGGGCCCACGCCCCCATTAACTGATTTTAAGCTAGCAAGAGGAACGACCTCTGTCCTGGCCCCCTCCCCCCAGGCGTTTTCCTAACGGCAAGTTTGGCGATGAAGCGTCATTATTTGTCTTAAAGAGAGAAATGACTCTCACTGGCAGGCAACATGGCATGGCAGGCTGCATTTCGTTGGCGAAAACAGCTTGAAAGCGAACAAGAGCCATTCTGGCTCAGGCTACTCTGGGCGGTTAAAGACTGGGCGATCAAAGACTGGACTGAGCCCCGTGACTGCCTGGGCGGTCATCCGGACTTCAGACCACCCTCATTCACCTGGTGCCTTCCACAAAATAGTATATCGTCTCGGACATTTCCCCCCAATTTTGTCTGCGTTATAAACTCTCCTTTCCTCCCCATCATACTCACTCACACATCTCGACAACCACGACGCGCACGTCAAGGATTTGAGTCTTCATTGGAAGCCGCTGGTAGGTCCATGTTACTAGTCATCAGTCAATATCTTCGCTCGCCCTGATTCTGTATTTCTCACACATCAGGTACTAAGCAGTCGTGCCTTCCCGAGGCCTCAGCTCTCAAGTGCCGACAAGTCCCCGTACAGTTGACTGGTTTTCCGCCTGCCAGTCTCTTCATCAACAACTCCCTCATTCCCGACCAAGGGAGTCAAGGTGGGTTGATGTCTTCATCCTTTGGTTCATGACCTCTTATAGCTAACCTTCTACAATTCCAGACCCCGAACTTGTTGCCGTTTGTCCACCCAGCTTTCATCTCACTTTCGTCTCGACGACACCTTCAGATTGCATCTGTCACCCTGTGTCAAGGACTCATTGATCGCAATCGGATCAAGACTCTCAAGCAGCCACCATTGCAGGCCTTAGGTAAGAAGCCATACCCAATCATCACTAGCTTCTCTGACAAGGCCAACGAACGCAATACACGGTTTCCTTGACCCGATTATCAAGATTGCCTTTCAAAGAGCACCGAGCCTGTGCCTACGACTTTTCCATGCCCGTTCACAATTTCCTGAATTTTCAACCCTTCGACTGGCCCATCGCCATGGATGATTCAATTCAGTTTGCCAAGCCTGAAGCTGTGCCAATGAAGCGGCATGCATCATCGGAGGTGCCGCATGAGAGCTCGCCGTCGCCAAAGAAGAAGTGAGGCGACGGACATCCCTTATGTTCCCTTCATTGGTAGTGCTGTATCGGCCGTGATGCTCGGAGCTTTCATGGTGGTTGGATCTGGTTTGCGCAGTGTTTCTTGTTGCTTTTTGGTTTTTTGGTGTGTGTTGTTTGTGTTTTCGTTTCTGGGGACGGGGGTGATTCTCTCGTGGACAGAAATCGGATAGAGTGCTCGGATGGGAACGGCCTACTGGTAAAACGGGATGGATTGCGACTCAAAAATGACCAGAGAACGGGGATCAATAGGATACTTGCTAAGGTCGAAGGCATGCTATGTAAGTGATCCGATTTTGACTACAATTTTGAACCCAAGCAACGACTGCCGTAAACTTGTCTTGAGTGAGCTCAATTGGCGAGTTGGATGATGATTGAACTGAAATACGAAGGTACCTTACGCAGCGCTCCAATGTGGCTTGAAGTTAACGCCAATGGACCATGTAAGTCGCCACGTGACTTCAATGATGTTGCCTGAGGTAATCAATCCGGTTACTTTACTTCTCCTTGGCTGATGAGGCATTTCGAGCTGACGCTGATCCCCCTTGAATTTATCCTGTTAACCACTGGTCCGACGCAGTTATTCAAGCCGGTAAATCCTCCTCCAGCCGCCCTTACATCTATCACTCTGAATAACTTGTGTCACTCCTTGCGCACAAAATCATGGCTAGCTTAAACGCCTCTCCAACATTCTGGTGGAAACCTGCCGCCCTACCTCTCTTCACGGGCCTGCTCGCCCTTCTCGGCGCCGCAGATGGGTGCCTCAACCTCGCCAAGCCCGAAGGCGGGGCCGCGACGTTCGGCCTCGTGCCCCCGCCGCGGGATACCGTCACCCCGGTCCAGTTCGACGCCTTTCACCACGCCCTCGTCAAGGTCAAGGGAGCCCGCAACTTGCACATGTCGTCGTGCATCCTAGGGTTGGTGCTTTACGGCCAGTTTTCTGACGTTTGCCGCGCATCACCGCTGGCGGCCACGGCGGTGCGGAGGTGCCTGGGGATCGTGCTGATGCTGGGTTCCGGCGTGGGCTTCAGCGGCGCGGCGGTCGTGTCTGAGTACATGGGGAATACTGTTGCCTCCGATGAGGCGGTCGCAGTTGGCAGGACCAAGGTCAAAGGCCATTTGATTGCCAACGTGCCCATCTTGGCGTTGGGATTGATTTACTTGCTCTACTGACTGCTCCAGTTGATATTTGTGGGCGCTCTTTTTGATGGAATGTGGACTAATTATGATGCTCGATTCTCTGTACTATCATAATATTCGTCGCTGTTACAGTATACATAGTAGCTTTTGCCGGGTGTCAAAAATCGAACTTCTCAACTCACCCTCGCGCTATCCATTGGTCCAAGTGAAGTGCTATTACCGTATGATGCCAACTTCTTTGAGATATTTGGGCCTTGGATACTCGGCGCTTTGCCAGAACTACCGAATCATGGCGCCAAACGTGATCCTACAATGTCGAGTACGAAGTCTTTGGAACGAAGCCATACACAGAGCAGAGAACAGGTGTCATATCTTGAGTAATACCATACGAACAATCACATCTCTGAAAGCAGCCTAACACATGTAGGGTAGCACTTGCTTCAAAGAACGCGCATTTGTTAATCATGCCTCCACCAGTTTCGTTGTGGCAATTCTCATCCTCTTTCCAAAAAGCCATAGAGGAATCGTCAGGAGAGAAAATATTCCCATCAGCATGCCAAATATACCAAACGGCTCCGAAGTTCCCTTCTCCTCCACCCAGTGCGCCACAAAGAACGTCCACGCAAATGCGATAATTGCTCGCATGATCGTGACCATGACGAAGCAATCACCAGCAAGATGCTGATACGCATCGATAAGCTATAGTTCTCAGGTTAGAGATCTCATTGCTCGACACGAAAGCACGCATGAGAGGAATGCATGTACTTACGTAGTTGAAGCCGACGGATGGTAGTTGCATAAGACCAAACGACACCATGGCAAACCCGGCAGAGAGACCGACCCAGCCATTCTTGGACGGGTACTGGCCCGTGAAGCCAAACACGAA